GCTGTCTGCTGTAGCTGGGAGCTGACGTCATATTCCGGCTCCCGGCAACAGCGCGCGGTGAGAGGGAGCAGAGAGCAGACAGCAGACAGCTCCCTCGCCGCGTCTGAGCTGGAGAGAGGGGGGGGGATCCATCACCTCTTGCCCCCCCATGACAGGGGCAAGAGGTGAAACAGGGGACGCTGAGTGCCTGCAGGAACAGCGTTCCTGCTCAAAAAAAGTGCAGGAACGCTGTTCCTGCAGGACTCAAACAATAGGCGTGCCACGGGGATTAGGGTGTGCCCAGGCTCACCCGGCACACCCCGTGCGCACGCCTATGACCATACTTCACAGTTGGGATGAGGTTTTGATGTTGGTGTGCTGTGCCTTTTTTTCGCCACACATAGTGTTGTGTGTTTCTTCCAAACAACTCAACTTTGGTTTCATCTGTCCACAGAATATTTTGCCAGTACTGCTGTGGAACATCCAGGTGCTCTTGTGTAAACTGTAAATGTGCAGCAATGTTTTGTTTGGACAGCAGGGGCTTCCTCTGTGGTATCCTCCCATGAAATCCATTCTTGTTTAGTGTTTTACGTATTGTAGATTCGCTAACGGGGATGTTAGCATTTGCCAGTGACTTTTGTAAGTCTTTAGCTGACACTCTAGGATTCTTCTTCACCTCATTGAGCAGTCTGCGCTGTGCTCTTTACAGGCTGGCCACTCCTAGGGAGAGTAGCAGCAGCGCTGACTCCATTTATAGACAATTTGTCTTACCGTGGACTGATGAACAGCAAGGCTTTTGGAGATACTTTTATAACCCTTTCCAGCTTTATGCAAGTCAACAATTCTTAATTGTAGGTCTTCTGAGAGCTCTTTTGTGCGAGGCATCATTCACATTAGGCAATGCTTGTTGTGAAAAGCAAATCCAGAACTGGTGTGTGTTTTTTATAGGGCGGGGCAGCTGTAACCAACACCTCCAATCTTATCTCATTGATTGGACTCCAGTTGGCTGCCATCTCACTCCAATTAGCTCTTGGAGAGGTCATTAGTCTAGGGGTTCACATACTTTTTCCACCTGCACTGTAAATGTTTACATGGTGTGTTCAATAAAAACATGGCAACATTTCATTCTTTGTGTGTTATTAGTTTAAGCAGACTGTGATTGTCTATTGTTATGACTTAGATGACGATCAGATCACATTTTATGACCAATTTGTGCAGAAATCCATGTAATTCCAAAGGGTTCACATACTTTTTCTTGCAACTGTATATATATATATATATATATATATATATATATATATATATATATATATATATATATATATATTTATTTATTATTAAAAAAATAAATTATAATAAAAAATTTAAAAAGTGAAAATTATTTTAAAAATTAAAAACATTTTCTAACTGTATTTTGACATTAATATATATTTATATCAAAATACACTTAGAATGATATTATATATATATATATATATATATATATATAAATAAATAAAATATGAAATATACATATGTCCATATACATAAATAATTTCATAAATATACATGTAGACTTCAAATATATAAATATGTATATATATTTAAATTCTACGTGCATATTTACGTAATATTTTTTACATAATTAAAGGATCACTATAGGGTCAGAAACACAAACATGTTTTCCTGACCCTATAGTGTTAACACCACCATCTAGCCCCCCTGGATCCCTCATGCATCCTTAAATATAGTAAAAATCTTACTGTATTCAAGCCTGAAGCTGCAGATCTGCATGCTGTTTGCCTAAAAAAAAAACAAGCAGTCTGCTGACATTATCACAAGTGGTAGCCTGATCCAATCACAGTGCTTCCCCACAGGATTGACTGAGACTGACAAAGAGGCAGATCAGGGGCAGAACCAGCATGATTCCAACATAGCCCTGGCCAATCAGCACCTCCTCATAGAGATACATTGAATCAATTAATCTCTATGAGGAAAGTTCAGAGTCTGCATGCAGAAGGAGGAAACACTAAATGTTTGGATGCATTTTAGGCAGCCATGACCCAGGAAGGATCTCTAACAGCTGTCTGAGGAGTGGCCAGTGAAGTTATCACTAGGCTGTAATGTAAACACTGCATTTTCTCTGAAAAGAAGGTAATGATTCTACTCACCAGAAGAAATTCAATAAGCTGTAGTTGTTCTGGTGACTATAGTGTCCCTTTAAGTAATTGTATTGATTGCAATTTGGGGGACCTGCCTGACAATCCAGGCCGAAAATCAAGAGAATATAATTTGCAAGGACTATATTTAACCCTGTAACTTTCCAAGACAACCTAAAACCTGTAAATGGGGGTACTGTTTTACTCGGGAGACTTCGTTGAACACAAATATTAGTGTTTCAAAACAGTAAAACATATCACAGCAATGATATTGTCAGGGAAAGTTACTTTTTTGCATTTTTCACACACAAATGTCATTTTCACTGATGATATCATTGTTGTGATACGTTTTACTGATTTGAAACACTAATATTTGTGTTTAGCTCCCGAGTATAACAGTAGCCCCCATGAACAGGTTTTATAGTGTTTTATAGTGTTTTTGAAAGTTACAGGGTCAAATATAAGGCTTGATTTCCACCCTGTATTCGGTTTTAATTGAGAAGTGTCTGTGGTTAACCGCAACGTTCTAATTGGGATCAAGAGGTTAACCAGCAGCACACTTCTCTTCTGGGTGGCCCTCCGTTCGGTAGTTTTGTTCGGCAGAAAAGTCAATTCACAGAACAGGGGCATATGAACGGGTAATTTCACGAAAAGGCAAAACAGACTAATCCAGCAATCTCAGTCTATACAGATGGATCTGTCACATTATGATTAAATGTATCTGATTAATATGTGCTTGATTAAGTCTGTGTGTATGGGAGGTCAGGAATTATCTTCAAAGGGAGTTTCTGTTTAGATAGTTGGAAAGATACAGCACCTGAAAGGCACCAATCACATTTACATATCAGCTGGTCTTCAAAGGAGTCTCTTTCTAGGAAAACAGTCACACCTTAGGTTAGAGGCAAGGGGATGGTTGGGAGAGTTCACACTTAAATAAAATAGTAGGATAGACAACACTTTGGGCCTAGGGAAAGTAAATCACATTTACATATCAATTGAGCTGAGGAATTGGCTATTTACAACATGGGAACCAATTCCTTTAAAAATAGAAGATACTGACCATAGGCGTGCGCAGCCTATTGCATTAGGGTGGGCACCTTAAAGCACAAACACACGCCGCATGTATATGTATGTGTGTGTATATATATATATATATATGTATGTGTGTGTATATATGCTGTGTGTGTGTGTGTGTGTGTGTGCTGCATGAGGGTGGTTTGAGGGTGTTGTTTGTGTTAGGGTGCTGTGTGTGTGTGTGTGTGTGTGTGTGTAAGGGTGCTGTGTGTGAGGGTGCTGTTAGTGTGATGTGTGTGTGAGGGTGCTGTTTGTGTGCTGTGTGTGTGTGTGTGAGGGTGTTTATGTGTGTGTGAGGGTGTTTGTCTGTGTGTGTTTGTTAGGGTCCTGTTAGTGTGCTGTGTGTGTGAGGGTGCTGTGTGTGTGTTTGTGAGGGTGCTGTTTCTGTGCTGTGTGTGAGAGGGTGCTGTGTGTTTGAGGGTGCTGTATGTGCGAGGGTGCTGTGTGTGTGTGGGTGCTGTATGTGTGTGAGGGTACTGTGTGTGGGGGGTGCTGTATGTGTGTGCTGTGTGTGTGCTGTATGTGTGAAGGTGCTGTATGTGTGTGGTGTATGTGTGTGTGTGTGTGTGTGTGCTGTGCGTGTGTGGATGCTGTATGTGTGTGTTGTGTGTGTGTTGGT